CAGAGTATTAAGATCTTACTTGGATTCTCTTTGCTCCAACTTACGTTCACATACAATTACAAATGTTCAATCAAATGATGACAAGGTTTTTTTTTTTTTTTTTTCTTCACACCATTTAAATTATCAAAAATCAAATTTCTTAGAAGATGAATCTTTTATTTAGGTTTCATTGCTTCTAAAGGAGAGTTTCATTGAATCTTTTCCTAGTCGTGATCGACCTTTTATGAAGGTATTGCTATTTTATAAATAAATATAAAACATGTTTTTTTTTTTTTAAATAGCCTAATTTTATTTATTATTTTTGAAAATGTGAAACAGCTTTTTGTGGACACACAAATGTTCTCTGTACATACAGACTTGGTATTGTCTCTTTTCCAAAAGGATTAGGAGTGGAAGGAAGGAAGGTTGACCTTGTAATGTATAGTTTATACTTTATAATCGCAATTGAGCGCAAATTCTATAAATTATTATAGTCCTCCCTCATGAGTTTTAAATGTGTTTTTATATTATTATATAGTTATAATTATAATTATAATTGGTTTCACATTTTGTATCACATGGCTATCTACATGAAAAGCCAATAACATCATATAAACATCATGTGGCCTCCTTTCTTAAACCATGTAACTTTTTTCTTGTTCTTTAAGGATACCAATGTTGTATGTTAGGATAAGGTGTTGTATATGTACGATATGTTTCCATTGATCCGATGAGCTTACATTCTAAAAGAATATAAATATATTCCACAATATTTATTAATTTTAATAACATTCAATCATTTTAATGTGAGACAAGTTGGATGAAGAAGGGTAAATAGATGTATAGCCAAGTTATTTTTATCCAAATTAAAGTCGATTAAAAAAGGTGTTATATAACTCTCTTCTTTTATTAAAATGATTTCAACATGGACACATAGTAGAGAGTAGAGACATCAAAACTGGTTTAAGTATATAGTTCATCATGAAACTTTCTTGAACAACTAATTAATTGAGTAAATATGTTAGTTATTTGGGATAATGATGGAATTGAGGGTATGGAGAAAAATGTAGGAATTGGGTTATTGGGATTGGGTTTGGATATGAGGGGAAGAAAAAACTGCAACTTTAATGAGACAACACCAAATGAGTAGGGTAGGTGTCAGAAGAGTCATGAATATGAATATTTTACTTTTGGTTTTGGTGTTGGTTTTGGGTTCGGGTGTTTGCTGAATGAAATAATTGGAGCGTCTGTTTGTGTAGACTCTGTACTCTGTCACCTAGTAACACTTTTGGAAGCTTTAAACAACCACGGAAGGGAATTCTCTTTTATGAATCAATGCGAGCTTGCACACACACTATCATATATATATATATATATATATATATATATATATATATATATATATATATATATATATATATATATATATATATATATATATATATATATTATTTTGTTTTTACTAACTATTGTGTGTCAGAATACATAAATCTAGATCAACGGATGAAATTAATCAATTTACATGATTTGAGAGTGTATGATATTATAATTATAATCACACAAGTTTTTATCAAAATGATATTTTGGATAATTAACTATATTTATAAAAGGAAATTTTTGGATTTTTAGGGATAATTAATTATCCTAAATTTTAAGAATCTGAAAATTTTTAATTAATTAATTTTAATTCTAACATAATTTATAAACATAACCGATTTTATTCCCTTAGGATTTTTTTTGTTCTTTTAGAATTTTATTCTATTTGAATATTATTAAAGAAAAACAAAATTCTTGAATCCATGTTGAAAAATAACAACATTCTAATATATTTTTATACATCCGAACTTAAATACAAATTCATACATATTCTTACAGACTAAAAGTCTTATACATTTTAATATAATTATACATATTCTAAAAGATTATCAACAAAAATGAATAAATTTCTTAAAAAATTACAACATTCTTAAATTGTGAGTATGATCAAACTTTATTCATTCTTCAAATTATTTCTATTAAGTCTTCAACGCATTCTTTCATTCTTCCAACCATTCCTATCACAAATGCAACAAAAACTAATAATGGTAAAAAAAACATGTTACTTGCAATTAACTATCACTCTATATATTTTAGTAAAATACATAAAACATGACTGAATACATAGACTACATTTTGGTAGAATACATATATTTTATTCTGACAGAATACATTCTCACAGAATAAATAAAATACATTCAAAAGTATTGTATTTACTGCTAATATAATTTTAGATTTCAAATATACAATAACGAGAAACAATAGAAATTGGAATTCAAAATCACAATTTGAACCAAAATAATACACATACAAATTAATTACATTTTAAACAATTACATAAAACATGTGTTGCTAGTAATTTTGATAGAATCCATTCTATAAGAATAATTGCCATCAAATCGAACTATATGATGATAACATTCTCTAAGAAACTTGTTATAATAAAAACTAGTTTCATAATCCATCAACAAAAAATTCAACGAAGATATATAAACAGTAAATTGGTAAAGAGGCTAAGAAAAATACAAAATTAAACTGTTAAAGTAACCTAAGGAGTTATAATCCTTGAATATCAGTTTAAATATCATTTATATATGAATATAACACATAATAAAGTTTTTTTTTTTTTTTTTTTTTTGAAAGAGATAACACGTAATAAAGTTTTCTGGCCTAAAATATAATTTTTTACATCATCTTTCGTCACATGTTATATTTATATATGAATAAAACGTGTATTAATTGTCGTGATATCTTATAATCGTATATCAATAAAACATTTATCAGATTTTTGTTATAGTTCATTTGTTATTTATATTTGAATAAGTAGTATGTTAATAAAAGACGTCGTGTTTTGAAAATCTAAACTACTTATTCATATATGATTAACAAATGAACTGTAATAAAATTATGTTAAATGTATTCTTCGTATATGAATATAACTTGTGAGGAAAACTAATACACGTTTTATTCATATGTGTATATAACATGTGACGAGAGTTGATGTAAACTCTAAAGGGTTTATGATATATTATATTCATATATGAATGATACTTAAACTGTAAAAAAAACTAATCATACTTTTTATTTATAAGTGAATAACGAATGTACTTTAATAAAAATCTGATGTATTTTTATTTACTTATAAATAACGATAGCTGAAACTATTAAAAATATTATCTTAAAACTATATTAATATAGATGATTATTTATAGAGTATAAAAAAATATGAATTTTGATATCTTTCAAATCATTTTTCAATAAAAATAACTCCTTAAAAATTAAAAATAAAAAACAAAAAAATACTACGTTATATATATATATATATATATATATATATATATATATATATATATATATATATATATATATATATATATATATATAGGATTGAGATCGGTTGAGAACTCATAGTTTCCCGAGAACACAAGAACTAAAAGTGGAGCGTTGGATCAAAAGTAATTCATTAAGGACAAGATCGTCATCTTACCAATCTCATTTAATGTTTAATTTTTTGTGCTATTTAACATATTAATATAAATGTCTAAAAATTTACATCATAAATCAAATTTTCATTTTTCTTTAAATAGTATTTTTTGTTTTTTTTAAATGCAGATTTTTTAATTTTTTATAGAAAGCATGAATTTAAAAAAATTGATTTTTTTTAAATAACTGCAATTTAAAAAAAAAAAAAAAAAAAAAAAAAAAAAAAAAAAAAAAAAAAACTGTAATCTTTTTTCAAAGAAAAAAACCCTGCAATTTTTTTAAAGAAAATTGCATATTTTTCAAAAGTAACTACAATTTAAAAAATAAAAAAACAAAAAAACTGCATTTTTATATAAAAAAAGTGCAATTTTTTTTTCAAAAAAACTATAAGTTTTTCAAAGAAATTTACATTTTTTTTTCAGAAAAAATTGTATTTAACAAAAAAACTGCAATTTTAAAAAAAAAAAACTGTATTTTTTTTTAAAAAGTAATTTTTTATGTGCATATGTGCATATTTTTTCAAATGCACATATGTACATTTCTTATACTATGATATTCGTAAGTAAATCACAACAAATCTCATATTTATTGATTAATCTATAAACATAATAGTACAAGTATTTTATTCGATACAAAATAAAATATACAAAATAAAAAAAATGCTACAAATTTCAAAGCGTTTTCATGTCTTCGTGTTAATATTTTCATATTTTCTTTAATTTATCATTCTCCACCTCTTCAATATTCACCACAATTTCTTCCAAATCTACAAGAAAATTAAAAAGAAATTGATTGATGTAAAAACATTCACAAAAATACATACGTGATTTACATGTGAATTACATGTGATTCATATCTAATTTACATGTGTATCACATGTAATTCATATGTGAATTACATGTGAATCACATGTAATTAATATGTGATTTACATGTGAATCACGTACATGAGAATCACATGTAATTTATTTGTAAATTACAATTCATATGTGAATTACATGTGAATCACATGTAATTCATATGTGAATTACATTTGATTTACATGTGAATCATGTGTAATTCGTATGTGATTTACATGTGAATCACAAGTAATTCACATATGAATTATATGTGATTTACATGTGAATCAAATATGAGTCATATGTGAATTACATGTGATTTACATGTGAATCACATGCAATTCATATGTGATTTACATGTGAATCATATGTAATTACAACGTTAAACTTTTTATAAATTTAGCTAAGTAAAAAAGAAGCAACCATAGTTGTCCAGATTATAAGTGTTGAACTCATTATACAATGTTCTCTTCCAATCTCTCTCATATGCCTTAACATGAAGACAATCTTGTTATTGTGTAGAAAAGATGAGGACAAATTTATAAAAAGTTAGGGACTTAATGGGAATTGGGAAAGACTCATTCTCCTCAAGTTTCATATTAAGTTATTCTTTATGCATTAAGTCAAACCAACCTGTAAGAACTCGATGATTACGGATTCCAGTTCAAACAGATATCCATTCATCATTTGTGTCAACAGTGTTAGAAAGATCATCATTAGAAACTTCAAGAATAGGTACAGCGGTACCATATCCAACTAACTTGCAACCCTTTCCAACTACCCTGAAAAGAAAAGTAGAACATGGCGATTATATGCGAACTTCAGTTGCATAATCTAACTTTGAATATGCATAAGCTTTTGATTGGGCATCAATAAACAAATAAACAAAACATGCATTGCTTTCTTCTAAAATGCACTTCAGTCTTAAGCATCAATAAAAACATAGTAAGAAAAAAAAAACTAACCAAATTTACAAATCACCTCATCTGTGATAGAGCACCCACAAGCTGTGCAACTAGGTCTAGAAGGATCCCCCTCAAATTAGCCAACAAATGATATTCAACCTGACTTACAACCCTGTAATGAGAAAATTTATCAAATAAACACAACACCACATGATATAATTCCAATTATGTCACTTGAAATCAATGAGCACATCAACTAGATATCTTCAAGTTTCTGAAGATAACTTGCCCTTACCTGTTAGCATTGATCAACCAATCAAATACAAAATGTTCAAGCCCACTCCATAATTTTTCTGCAATTACAATAAGCATATCCTGTTTTAGAACAAAATGACCTCACTTACAAGGATTAAGGATAGACTAATGGTGGAACAGCCAAACCTTTTTCTGAAATTTAACAATGTTTCTTTTATCGTCTGCATTAGCTAACTGAGCAGCAAAGATGAAATCTACAAGTTCGTTCACAGGAGCATCTTCACCTATTAAGAATCACGAGAAGAAAAACAAATTGGTAAAATATATTTTGTACGATTTAAAATAAATACAAATTACAATACCAAGTTTGTTTATTGCAAACTCGACTTCCTCAATAGTGAAGTTCATCATTAGTAAGGAAGCCTTTTTGTCATCAATGCCAATGCAGCCTTCATCAAGATCCTGTATAGAAAGTATTTTTAGCATATTGCTAACAAACTCTAATGAAGATAAAAGTCTAAAAAATATGTTAAACATGAAAAAAAAAAAAAAATACAAATGAAGAATTATATGAGACAGTGCTAACCAAATTTCTTGACTGGAAAAGATGAAGCATAAAATGTCTAGCAAAATTGCAGAAAATAATAAAGTTGTATAAGTTCTCCCGAGACACTCTCTTCCAACTAATCAACATCTATTTCATCAGTTAGCATTGTATCAATTTCATAAGCACTGACCTTCATTTGCATATGAAAAATTCAAAATGAAATATCATAAAATCATTATTCATATCATGTTTTGCAACCCTTAAACATAGCAAAAGTAAACACATAAGCATCCTTGATTTATAGTTTTTACAAGGTTTGTAAACAGTTTGATAATCAGATTACTAATGGATCAGATACTTGAAAATGAAGAGAAAATTACGATCCTATTGAAAAATTGGAAACATTACCTTAGAATTTAGAATAGCACTAAGAACAGAACAAAGAGTTGCAACAGATGCTTTGTATCGGAGTCGAGCTTCATTGATTTTATCGAAGATAATATATGAAATATCGATTCTATCGTATCTTCCAAATGTTTTTCCCTTCTATCGCCAACTCGTGTGTCAATTTCTAACTCGTGATGGTCATGTTGTTAGTCTCGTCTATTGATTTCGAATCTTAACACGAAATTGAAATTGTGGATCAGAAAACAATTGCAAACCCTAATTTTTGCAATTAACTGAAACATAAAGAGGTGAGGCGACGATAGGAGGAGAGAGATTTCTCATCGTGGTGTTCTCTTTCAATCTCTCATCGAAGGAATCATTGTCGCAAAGGCGTAAAGACGTGTGTATGTGTGTGTGTTTGTGTGTGTGAGGGAGAAAGAGAAGTGGGGAGAGACGATGAAGAAGGAAATTAATCGATATGGTGATGATTATCGGAGGAGACCATGGCTTTCAGATGGTGGTATTGGATTTCATCAAACGATCAACGATGAATTTGATGTGATGAAGGTGTAAGGAGGGGGAGGGGATGAAGAGAGAGAGAGAGAAAGAGAGAGAGAGAGAGATGTAGGGAGAGAGTCGACGTGATTAAGTTGATAAAGGGGTATCAATTATAGTTTCCATAAATGCCCTTGATTTATTTTAATAAGATGTCCCCATCCCTTTTTATTTTCAGGTATTTACAAAAATGCCACAAAGCATCCTAACCCTTTATTATTTTAATCTAACGGTGATTGTTAAGTTCTCAGGAAATTTTGAATTCTCAAATGATCCTTGCTCTCTCTCTCTCTTTCTCTCTCTCTCTCTGTCTCTCTCTCTCTCTCTCTCTATATATATATATATATATATATATATATATATATATATATATATATAAAGGTAATGAAAACATGTTTTGTTGGAAAACACAAGTGTATTCCTTTTCCATTTTCGCCGGTATAATGGAGGATTTTGCGACAAAAATAAATGAATGACTGAGAATGATTCCCATATTATCAACTTTTTTTATTTTCTCAATTGAACTTACCAATCTCTCTCTCTCTCTCTCTCTATATATATATATATATATATATATATATATATATATATATATATATATATATATATATTCATGTCATGTGTTTCTATGTTTATCGCTTAATAGTTGATACATATACACCTCAATCGTTTTGTTTCTAGTTTTTAGTTTGGTTCATAAACCTTTTAATTTTAGGGAAATTGAGTAATCAAATCATTTTTTTGGTTGTTTTTTTAAATAATCTTCTTTTTTTTGGCAAAATGACCACTTGGTCTAGAATGGTTGTTCTAGACCAAATGTCAACTTCGGTTAAACGAGTAGATAATTCCGACCTATAAATTTAGTTCTCCTATAAATACCATTTAACCCGTTTTAGACTACACTTCTACATCCATTGTTTTAGGCTACACTTTGACATCCCATTTTGAACACCTCTACAACGGAAAATGTCTTTTGATAATGAAGAAATGCAGTTTTTATTTGTAAGTTTCAAATTTGTTTCTAATTAAATACATTATTATTTTTTATTATACGCTAAAAAAATTTAGTTTACGCAATTATATAGGTATTATAGGGTTTTCTGTGAATTTTAATCTTGTTAAAGCCATTATAGGGTTACATAGACTTATACATTTATACTACATGATACATCGTAATCAAAAACCCTAATTTTTGCTAATCCGGAACGTATCCAGACTCCGAAAATCATGTCCAGAATACAATGAACTAGGTCTGGACTATATGGTCCAGAATACCATAGCTGATTTTCGGATTCCGAAACATACATATACAAATCTTAATTCCGGAATACAATAAAAAAAAACCCAATACTGGAATACAGTAAAAAACCCTAATTTCCCTCCGAAACATACAGATAAAAATCCCTAACTAATAGTTATTTTGATTGTAGCATGATAGAATATACGGAGCGGTTGTTCCTACAACATACAGACCAGAACTTGGGTGCGAAATCATGGTGCACTTACAAAACTAACCAGTTTGTGCGGCGATGTTTAGACAATCATGTTTTGTTACGTTAACATGCCAATGGGTTTCAAATGCCATCCTTTACTATGCCACTATCTTATGTGCAAGGAAGTTACTACTTTTGATCCAATTGACCTAGGAGAGCTTCTATTTTCGGTTGGCGACTATTGGCTTTGCTTTGACAAGAAAGCATTCTGCTTGGTCACCAACGTGCGGTTCGGGGATTATTTCCACCCCAGTTCTGTTTTTGCAGCATTTAGAGAACGTGTGTTTCCATTTGTGCCGCTTTCACGTTCGGTGAGTATGGATGACCTTATGAATGTGTTCAATAACTCACTTCATCAGTTAAGCAATGAAGACATGGTGAGACTCTCCGTGGTGTATATGCTAGAGTAAGGATTTTGGGGAAATACCGGCGACAACTAGTTACTAATGAACGTATGGCACTCGTCTCTAATTTATAGGAATTTAACAAGTATAGTAATTATTTACCCACAGTATATCAAAATGATATATATATATATATATATATATATATATATATATATATATATATATATAAAGTGTAATTTTTTGATATAGGTACCCATGGGGCAGATTGATGTGGGATTTCACTTACAAACAATTGCGTACTGTGTTTGATAAGATTGAGGACAATTTGAACCCAAAGATGGCATGTCCACAATACATTCTTTGAGTCTTAATAAAAACCAAATCCATTACTCTCAACTTTCAGCTTTCCCAACACCAAATGCAATAGGAAGGATTTGGTTATTACCATCAATGCCTACTTCTAGGAACATGGTGCCCAAGTATTTCCTTTTAAGGTGTGTGACATCAATGATAATAATAGGATGCAAACATCTTTGAAATGCACGAACCTAAAAGTAATTAATAATCTAACTAAAGCAAACATATGTGTATGGACATTAAATATAAAGAAGTAGGTTGATGTGTGTGAAACGAGCTAGTTTTAATCCTACTTTTAGTTAATAAATTAAGCACATAAAGGCAGTGAACCTGTCTTTTAGTGGTATAGTTGGATAAGTAGGGTGTCGAACTCAGGGAATGAAAATTAATCTAATAACTAATTTTAACTAAACAAGTAATAAAAGTAAAGGGTTTTTTCTCTAGTTTTACAAGACTAGAAACTTAAACATAGCACTTAAAAAATTAACTAACTAAAGAATTAAAGCAAATGACAAATTCACCAAATTTATTAAAAGATTTCTGTTTAGGTTCAACTAATTCACTCCTATGGTTATTTAAATGATAAATTAATTATTATTGGTTACCAACTATAATGGTTAGGTTCATGTTCATTACTCCTAACCCTTAGACAATTAATCAATTCAAGCAGCGGCCAATTGTTTAAACTAATTAATTCCCTAGTTCAATTGTTTGGATTAAATAAGATTTGTAATTGGTTAATCAAGTTGGTGTTTCAATTAACCTCTTGTTTGTTGGTTTCTCAAACAAGCTGTAACACCGTGTATTTCAAAACAAAATTTTCAAATTTTTATAAAACATAATTCATTTAATATTCAGAAAACAACCACATTTAATTATCCAATTCAAGTAAATACAAAATCCCAAGATCTCAAATCATAACTCCCATGCGTGTGTACTGATCAAGCCGGCGCCTTCCCGCGATCGTCACTAGTACCTGAAACAAATAACATCAAACACAGTAAGCACAAATCTTAGTGAGTTCCCCAAAATACCACATATAACACATATTAGCCACTCGAGGCTATAACTCTGTGGGTCCGTGCACCCAAACTCTATGAACCCTCAGGTTCTAACTCTGTAAACATGCACAACATAAATCACATGGAAATAATGCAGTACAACACATAACATACATAGCATACAAATACTCTATCACATAACTCTGGTTACCTACTCAAGGTAAAGTATAGTGAGAAGACTCACCTCGCGTGTCTCGGTAAGTCGTAAATCCTGAAATCACTAGTGCTCGATCTCCCGAGCTATAGTCCTCCTAAATCACAATACACCTCTAATTAACACTTTCCCAACTAAGGTTGACTACTCTTTAACAAGTCAACTTAGGTCAACGCTGGTCAACGGTCAACGGTCAACCTTGACCGGACTCGGCGAGTGCACTATAGCGACTCGGCGAGTCTAAGCGTATACACTGATTTCCCTGAAATCCTCCCTTGATACGTCGCGTATTCTCCTAACTCGACGAGTTCCACCTGGCATAAGTTGTGGGGCCACCACGACTCAACTCGCCGAGTCTCAAGAACAACTCGGTGAGTCCAGCTTGACTCAGTCCACCTGTCCACTCCGACTTCCCCCTGACTCACTGAGTCAACCCTCCCTAGCTCGGCAAGACCACTCGCTGTGTGGTCGGGCAACATTCATACGACTCGCCAAGTCTGTTCTTCGAACTCGGCGAGTCCGTGCCATGCAATGACTCAAACTTGCTCATAAGGTCAGATCCAGTCCATTAACCCATAGATCCAGTCCTTCCAAGCTTATTTAGCACGTAAAGTCACTATCTTGATGCACATATAATCTCTATATGACCATATATGATGTTTTTATCTCAAATACTACAACTCAAGGTCATAAACTCCATTGCTATACATAAAGCTTGATGAGTGAGGCTCTCTGGACCTCTATGGATCCAGATCCAGAGCCTCAACACAAGAGGGGAACTATTTGGCATCAAATCAATCCAATAATGTCCATAAGAAACCCTAAATCCCATTATACTTCAC